CCCAAAACTAGTCCCAAACTAGTCCCCGGACTATGTGTTAGACTTTTTGCTGGCATATTCCTCCTGTAGACGGACAGACCCGACTCAATGCTAGAGCACAGCGGAGGCCAGTCGACAAGAAAAACCTTCCACAGGAAGCCCAACCCCGAGGCCCCAGGGCGTCCATGCTTGCTCCATCGCAGAAGCGTCGAGACCCAAGAGACCCAGGGCACCCTGGAGGCCAGCAGGGTGCTTCTTGGCATGGGCCTCCACTGTAGTCCCAAATAGAAAAAGAAACAACCACAGAAACCACCGCGCTCCGCGCGGATTTCTTGGATTCGCGCTGGACCCCCCTCCCGGGCGCGCGGAGCGCGCCAGGGGCGGCGCCGGAGGGCGCCGACGGAGAGGCCCAGGCGCGGATCCAAGAAATCCGCGCGGAGCGCCAAGAGTTTAGGTTCTGGGTCTTCCTCCGCGCGGAGCGCCAAAAGTCGTCCTCCAAGAAATCCGCGCGGCCCAGGAGCGTGGTTTCTTCCTCTTCGATCTAAACCACTGGGCGGGTCCACGGATTGTTCGCCACGCTGCCGCACGCGCCCGCCCGTGGGCGCCCGCGCTGCGCCGAGGGGGCCCGTCGAGGACACCCGCCGCGCCGTGGCCGCTCGCGGCCGCCCCTCGGAGCGCCTCGCAGGTGCCCCGTGGGCGGCCGCAGGGCTTGCACCAGCGGGGCTGTGCTCCACGCGGCGTGCACCGCACTTCTTTTTTAAACTGGCGCCAGAGAAATCGCCCTGCGGCCGAAGGAAAAGGGGCAAGCAGAAAGCGAGGAGAAGCAGCAGCAGCAGAAGAAGCAGCAGAAGGAGAAGCAGCAGCGGAGAAGCAGCAGCAGAAGCAGCAGCGCGAGCGGGCAGGCGCGGCCGACGGCCGGCGCCCGCCGCCTGCGCCGCGGCCCACATGGCGTGCACAACAGAGATGGCACAGCATAAGCTCACACCACAGCGTGCACCACGTGGCTCACACCACCCGAGCGCACCGCACCGCGCCTACGGCAGGTTCGTGTCGTGCCGACCCCAGCGTTGGTTTTTGACACCGCAGGGATCGTTCAACCTTGAACGATCGGCCGTCTCCGCAACGTCCGGTCGTTCAACATCGATCGATTCTGGGTCGCCGGCGGCGTTCAACCTTGAACGCCCGCGCTGGGGTCGCCGCTGGTCGACACGACGCAAACCTGCCGTACACCGACGTCAAACGCGGGTCGCACTCCACAAGGACTGGAGCGCATCTCAGCATGCTCTCGCGGATCGGGCCGAAGAGAAGCCCCGCGGGGTCTCCCAGGATCGCCCCCAGGCCGGGTCGACCCGCAAGGGGGGCCAGCGACAAGGGGGTGGTGCAATAGACTTGGTGCAGTAAATTTGCTGGGTTGCAATACAGCTGGGGCGTGCAATACATTCGGGGGGCCCCAAATCTATTGCTCGATTTCCGCATGCAATATACTAGTTGCAAAACAATGCAATACAACTCTCTGGCGCAGTACATTTGTAATCTACAACTGCCCCACATATGTTGCACCACTTCTTTGCAGCTGGACCCCCATTTGGGTCATCCAAACCGAGGCCGCTAACAAGAACTCCCCCCCCAAAGCGGCCCCGAGGCGGGCAAAGCAGCGCCCACGCCGGCCCGGGCAGGGCCCGAGACGGCCCCGCAGGGCCCGAGGCAGACCCGGACGGGCCCAGTGCCGGCCCCACAGGGGGTGTCGACAAGGCCGCCTGCAGAGGCCGCGGCCTTCCCCAGAGCGCCCAGAGACGCGGCCCCAGGGGGGGACCCGTCCTCCTCTTCCGCCTCCTCCTCTTCAATCCTCCTCCTCCTCCTCCTCCTCCTCCTCCTCCTCCTCCTCCTCCTCTTCAATCCTCCTCCTCATCCTCCTCTTCCTCCTCCTCCTCCTCCTCCTCCTCCTTAGAAACGACGGCCGACGACGCTCTTTCGCGACCCGAAGACGGCCGATTCCTTCATCGACGTGTCAGGGTGGGAGGTCTATCAACCTCCGAAGACCGACCGCTCCGGGAGGATCGTGGCCGCGCTGTCGCCCGGCACTCGGCCACAGGGGCGCCAGGGCCGGGTGCACCGCTGATTCGCCACAGGCGTCGCCGACACGAGCTGGGAGCAAGGTGCAGGGCACAGACAGTGCCAGCGGGAATCGAGCTGGAAGCAGGAGTAGTCAGCGGAGGGCGAGCTTGAGGCAGTAGAAGATACTTTTTTTTCTGCGGCCTCCGCGCATGCACACGGGCATTGCGATGAGGAGCGCCCGACAGGGAGAGACATACCTCCAGCGGCACAACTTGGCGACGCGCACCTGGGAAGCTCAAGTTCTCTCTGGTCTTAAGTCGGACCTGTCCCCCCTCTTAAAATAACAAATAGTCAAATTAGCTTGGCGAAGGACCCAACCATACGCAGTTGTGAGAACCCCATTTGTAAATACCGTCTTCGGTGGAGATCCCCGTGGGGCCGCGAAACGTGTGAGGGGTGTGCCGACGTGGGTGAGGCGGACACATGCCGGCGGTGGGTAGGACCTCAAGTGGAGCTCCCTATTGGTCACGAAACGTTTGAGGGGTGTGCCGAAATGGGTGTGCGTGACGCATGCGGTCAGCGGCACTGCGGCATTCGGTGGAGCTCGCCATAAGGCAACGAAGCGTCACAGAACGTGTGAGGGGTGTGCCGAAATGAGAGTGGCGGACGCCTGCACTTCAGCGGAGCTCCCTATGGGGCCGCGAAACATGTGAGGGGTGTGCCGAAATGGGTGTGCGTGACGCATGCGGGCTGCGCCACTGGGAGCTCCCTATGGGACCACGAAACGTGTGAGATGTGTCCAAATGGGTGTGCGTGACGCATGCGGCCCCGCTGCGCCACTGGGGCCTTCGGTGGAGCTCCCTATGGGGCCACGACGCGTGTGAGTGGTGCGCCGAGATGGGTGTGCGTAACGCATGCGGGCTGCGCCACTGGGAGCTTCGGTAAAGCTCCCTATGACGCCATGAAACGTGTGATGGGTGTGCCGAAATGGGTGTGCGTGACGCATGCGGGCTGCGCCACTGGCACCTGCGGTGGAGCTCGCTATGGGGCCACGAAACGTGTGAGGGGTGTGAGGAAACGGGTGTGCGTGACGCATGCGGGCTGCGCCACTGGGAGCTTCGGTAAAGCTCCCTATGACGCCATGAAACGTGTGATGGGTGTGCCGAAATGGGTGTGCGTGACGCATGCGGGCTGCGCCACTGGCACCTGCGGTGGAGCTCGCTATGGGGCCACGAAACGTGTGAGGGGTGTGAGGAAACGGGTCGCATGCGGGCTGCGCCACTGGGACCTTCGGTGGAGCTCCCTCTGGGGCCACGACACGTGTGAGGGGTGTCCCGGAACTGGTGTGCGTGACGCATGCGGGCTGCGCCACTGGCACCTGCGGTGGAGCTCGCTATGGGGCCACGAAACGTGTGAGGGATATGAGGAAACGCGTGTGCGTGACGCATGCGGGCTGCGCCACTGGGACCTTCAAATGAGCTCCCCGGGAGGCTACGAACCGTGTGAGGGGTGTGTCAAAATGTGTGCGTGACACATGCGGGCTGCGCCACTGGCACCTGCGGTGGAGCTCGCTATGGTGCCACGAAACGTGTGAGGGGTGTGCCGAAATGGGTGTGCGTGACGCATGCGGGCTGCGCCACTGCGACCTTCGGTGGAACTCCCTATGGGGCCACGAAACGTGTGAGGGGTGTGCCAAAATTGTTGTGACGACGACGGTGACGACGACGACGGCGACGACGACGACGACGACGACGATGACGATGACGATGACGATGATGATGGTGCTGATGATGATGATGATGATGATGATGATGATGATGACGATGATGAGGACGATTATGATGACGATAACGATGGTGATGATGACGATGATGATGATGAGAAGAGGAGGGAGGAGGAGAGGAGGGGAGTGACGCGGGACGCTGTCTCTTCGAAATGAGGACCCGACAAAACAGGACGGTTGGGAAAAATAGCCCCAAATGGTCAGACCATACCCAAAAATAGTCCCCCGGACTATCTTTTACAATCTTGCCAGATTCCCCCTGTGGAGGGACAGGCCCGACTTCACTCTGATCGGACGGCCGCGCTGGAGCGGCAAATGATAGGAAGAAACAGCTCCGAACGCTCGCGCGCGCGAGCGTGCCGGAGGGGCGGCGGGCCGCCCCGATGGCAGGGGAGGGACACGGGACGAGGATCCAGGACCGAGGTCAGATGAAGAGGAGAAGGGGAGAGGAGGAGGAGCAGGAGGAGGACAAGACAGAGAGAAGCAGGGAGCAGGAGATGTAACAGCCTCACCCTGGAACGCCCCCACTTTGGCCACCAGCCCGGGCGGCTGTCTTACGTATGGGCCAGCGGGGTCCCATCCTCAGCGAGGCTCGACCTCGCATGCGCGCGCGCGGCGTGCGCCGCCGAGGCGGCGCGGTGGTATGGAACACGTGTGCGCGCTGGCCGCAGCCACTGATACTACTTGGGCGCCGACCCCGCATGGTCGGCGGCGCACCGAGCGGGCGTGCCGCCGACTTGGCTGCAGAGACGGTCGGAGGACACCGCCAGCCTGCCGGCGATGCGGCGACGCCCTCTGACACGCACAGGCCTTTGTCCCATCTGGGCGGCCTGGACACGTGCGCGGGTGGCGCGGGCGGTATTCAGAAAACCCAGCCCGCGAGCCAAATGAAAAAACTGAAATCGGCACGCTCGCCAAAGGGGGGCGCCCGAGCATAGCAGGATCTCCACTGCGGCCAGTGCCCTACCAGGCATTCGGGTCCACGTGGCGCCCCTGCTTCTCGGGCCTCCTGCTCCTGCGAGCCAGAATGCGCCACAAAAATCATGCATCGGACTGCGCCGTGTCTTTGGAATATCGGCGACGCGGTGGGGTGCGGGGTCTGGCCCCACTGAGGCCTGGACCCTCCTCCTGCGCCCCCCCTGCCCCGAACTTCCGACCTTCCCCGCGCCTCTCAGCCCCCCCGCCCCGCCCCTGGACCGCGGCGAGCCCCGCCTCAGATGGCCTCCGCCGCGTCCCCGTTCTCCGCCGGAAGCTCACTGTCCCCGTCCGCCTTCTCGTCGTCCATGTCCTCTGGCATGATGAGGTTCAGGATCACGGCGGCGAGGAAGCCGATGCAGTAAGGGGTCTTCAGCATCATGATGACGGCCGTGCGGACTCCTCTCAACTCACGCCTGTAGCACTTGCAGCAGGCGCCGTTCATGTTCGAGCACGCGTCGACATATGTCTCGTCGTACGTGAAACTGTTGCCGAGGTCGTCGGTGCCAGTATTGAACTCCTCGCAGACGTACTTCTCCGGCCAAAAGCCCGTGTTGAACTTCAAGTTCTTCGCGTAGAACGAGAATCCACCGCCGCCCTCGAACAGTTGCGGAATCATGGCAACGCCGAGGCCCAGGCCAAGCGACAGCATAAGGATGAACGAATTTCGGCGCGTCCTCTTGGTCGTCGCCATCTGCATCCCCGCCACGAAGACCATCGTGAAGCACTGCAGCACCATGCCCCCCACGACGCAGATCGGGATGGAGGCGAACGCCGCGCCGAACTTGCCGACGGTGCCGAAGACGATCAGCCAGAAGGCGCAGCCGAAGCCCGCCGCGCGCGACGCGCAGCGCGTCAGGGCGATGACGCCGTTGTTCTGCGAGAATGTCGTGTTGGGGGGCGCACTCAAGAGGCACGCTAGGACCGAGTTGACGCCGTCTGCAAGCAGGCCGCCCTGGATGCGCGAGTTGTAGTCATCCCCCTCCGCCGGGATCTGCGAGGCCACGCAGGACATCCCGATGTCGCCGACGGTCTCGGCCGCCGACACGAAGTAGGCGATGAGGATCGGGAGGAGATACTCCGGGGCGAAGCCGAGGTACTCAAAGAAATTCGTCTTGTGGAAGTACGTGAAGTCGGGTGCCTCGTCGATGGCGTCGCTGTCAAAGAAAGAATATTGTTTGCCCACCGTTGCGGCAGCGAAGCCTCCGAGGCAGGCCGCGTCAGGTTCCGCCGTGCACGTGACCTTGTCACCCGCCACGGCTGTGTACGAGATCAGCGAGGCAATGATGACGCCGAACATGAGCGACCAGAAAATGAACGTGGACTTCAAGAAGGGCGAACCCCAGATCTGAATGAAGACCGACATGGCGATCACTGTCAAGCCGAGCCCGATGTACTGCGGGGACCCGAAGGTCAGCGCCACCGCCCCGTTCTCGTTGCAGAGCTGCGGGCCGCCGAAGGAGGCGGCCCTGCTGAGATCGTTCTCGGCACAGAACACGCCGCCACCGAGGTACTTGATCCCGGAGGCAATCAACCCGCCTCCGATGAGCATGACCGTGACGCCGCAGACGACGTCTGGGAAGAGCTTCTTGTGCACCCTCGCGGGCAAGAACCCGAGCGCGATCTCGAGGACAGCTGCAACCATGGCCGTCCCCAAGAACTTCCCGTACCCCACCATGCCGGGATCGTCAACGGTCGCGCAGGCCGCCTGGTTGTCCAGGATCTCCCCGACCACCATCTCCCGCGCGATCGGCAGAAACGTGAAGCTGGTGCCCATCACGGAGATCAGGCCGGTCCCCAGGAAAAAGCCGCGGAACAGCTTGGCCCGGAACACCTGGACGATGGTGAGGAGGCCGCTGGCCGCCCACGCCGCACTGATCAGGTACGCCTTCGCCTCGCACAGCTTCTCGTCCTTCTGCCAGGCGAAGCACGCGTCCCCGGCGATGAGGCTCGGCGGGGTGGCAATGCCCGCGACCATGGCGAGCGCGTGCTGGAGGCCCATGACCAGGGAGAGGAACAGCCCGAGCTTCTCGTCCTTCGCCAGGAACTTCGGAGGCGCCACCCCGCCCTTCTGCCAGGGCATCGACGGCATGCAGAGGTACAGGTAGCTGTAGTTGCCGAGGAGGCCCTCCTTGGTCAGTGGGTTCACCATGCACGGGCCGCAGCCAGCCATATCCTCAACCTCTGGCACGCCGCTCTGCGTCATCTTCTGGTCCTCCGCATTCGTGTCCGCCATTGCTTTCGCGGGTCCGATGTCGCTCCGCGTCGCGAGACGGCGGTGCGTGCGCTGCGCTCTCTCTCCGCTCGGACAAGAACCTTGAGCCGAAATGGCTTGACCCAAAATGGCTACGGACTGAGGCAATAGAATATTGGCAAATCAACTGTGGCAATAAACCAGCAATTTGAAATGTACTGAAATTGCATCAGAAAGGAATGTAAGCAACGCTGGTTTCTACAATGCCAGTATTATGGGTACGATGCCATGCTCCTGCTGACACACCACATGCTATGATGCTCCAGTGCGCTATGGTTTGAGCAGGCCGGAAGGGAGTCCCGAACACAAGCGGGTGGTGTTTTTGGACTTTGGACCCAGTTCGCCAGGGTGACGCATTCGCCTGCGCTTGCCACATGTTATGAATTCGGACCCTGACCTTTGGTCGCCAGGGTATTGAAGCTTGATGTACATTCGAGGTGCCAAAGCCCGCCAAGGTGTTGCGAGCGGCGCTCCGATCCCGCAGTCGGCCAGCGCAGCAGTGCAATGCCACCCGCCTGGTGCAACACGTTGCGACACGATTTGGGGGTGGGCTTCAGTAGATGTTTGGAGCGTGCGATCTGTTTCGGTAGGGGAATAACAAGTGACATAAACGTAGAAACTCGGAGGACCGCGTGGATTTCTCGGATCGGCGCTGGGGCCCCCCCGCGGCGCCTCCGGCGCCGCCCCTGGCGCGCTCCGCGCGCCAGGGAGGGGGGTCCATCGCCGATCCGAGAAATCCGCGCGGACCTCAGAGTTTTTTATGTTTATGTCACTTTTTGTCCCCCTATTCGGGGCGCAAATGTGTTGCTCGATTTCTGCTTGAATTGCGACTGCCGCAGCACAGTGCGATACGGTTGCCCGTCTGCCACGCATTGGCACTGCGTCGCCCGCGCGCGCTGCAGCTGCAACGCGCGCTCTGTGCCCAAGAAAGCACTCCATGCCAGGCGCGCCAGCATCATTTCATGCAACTGCTGTCACAGATGGGCAACCGAGGCCTTCGGGCAAAAATCCGAGCATGCCTGTCCTTCCGTCTGCCATCTTTCTCGTCCCGAGACCTCTTGCAGGCACCAGCTGTACCGAGCCGAGTAACGTCGCAATCATGTTTCGCAAGGGCCCGTCTGATATTCCAGTGCCAACGAACGTTTTGCCAACACCACCCTTCACCTGGACCCCCTTCGGGCCGCCGAGATATGAGCTGATAGCGCTACAGTGCTACGCTACAACTCGGGTCTCTGGCGGCCGTTCGGGACGATTCAAGAGGCCCTGGGACACACAAACAAATACACACAAGCAAAACAGATGCCCCATAGTTCCTTTTCCCATATTTTCTGGGTTTTTGTCTTCCCCCCCACTTCCCATGTTTTCCTATACTTTCCTGGAAGTCGACGATTCGTTGTGTCTGGGTGTTTTTTCCCCTCTGAACAACGATGGGGCGCCCGCGAAGGCTTTCGCCCGAGGCGCAGCTGCTGGAACGCCTTCCGAGGCAAAAACGTCCTGCAGGAACCAGCGACAACTTGCTTCCCACCCCTCCCTCGACAGCGATATGACCCCCTGATGTCCCTGATTTAGAGGAAAAAGAACTATGCACATACACCGATTCTGGCCTGGCCCATCCTGAGCCCAGGATCGGTGCATACGCCCTCCCACCTTGGCCAGGAAGGCATATGCACCGATCCTGGGTCAGGGATGGGCCTTGCCAGGATCGGTGCATGTGCATAGTTCTCTTCGCCCGATGATTACAATCAAAAGCCCTAATAAGGACGCGCGGTATGGACGCAAGAGCCTTGGAAGCCGAAGCTGGGATTTCTGGGGCGGCGGGCGACGAGAACCCCAAGGGTGCCCTGACAAGCGGGCGAGCGGAAGAGGCCAAGGACGAGCCGCAAGAGCAGGGAAGAGCAAAGACGCAAGGGTACCCTGAGCAAAGTCGCGTGTCCATATTAGAAATTTCGACTGTACGCCGCTCCTGTCAGAAAGCAACTCACGGAACAGTGATGCCCAAGAGTGCACCCGATCGCGCGCAACACGGGCACGATGCATCTCCCTCACATGGCGCTAGTGGGCGCTGTTTGTCGCTGCTGCGCGCTATGTGATCGCTATTCGGCTCTACTGGGCGCTGCTTGGCGCTGTTGAGCGCCATGCAAGCGCTGTTCGCCTCGATCCAAGACGAGCGGAACGTTCCGTGATCTCCTATCTAACTTCGGGCGGGTGCTACTGAGGGGTGACCTCAATGGGGGGTATAGAAAATGGCCCTGGAAGGGCCCGAAATCGCCCCTTTGGGAGCCAGCAGAGGCCAAAAGGGGGCCCCCCAAAGCCCCTTTAGGGCCCTTCTTCACCCATGATTTCGGCCACAACCAATTACTACCCACACGATTTTACGGCTGAACCTAGGACAGGAGAACATCCGTCGAGAACATGAGACCCTCCGCCGGCCAAACTAAAGAATATTCGTGGGCACCCTCCCCCAGGATGCACAAGAACATCCAACAGGCACGAAGAACCCCCGAGCCGACCTCGATCTGATACCCCAAATCCGACCGTATCCAGCTCCTGGAATGCCGCCCCCCCCGCCCCGCCCTTTCCCTCCTCCCTTCCTCCCCCTCCCTCCCCCTCTCGGGCGTTGGCAGAACTGGATTTAGTGAAACCTGGTTTAGTGATGTGTACTGGGGGACGCCCCCCCGCCCTGTTCCACTATCCGGAACTGCCGTCACCCGAAAAACACCAGCTGCAGCAGACCTGGTTTCGTGATTCTAGCCAATTCAAGGGCCCCAGGGCCCTACCGCTAACCGGGTCCCCTTACCTGGGGTCCTGGCTATACCAGACCCTCCCCCCCCCCCCCTCCCGGCGCGCCTGCGCCTGCGCCCGGTACCTCGGCGAGAAGCTGCAGTGCGCCAGGCACTGCGCGGCCTCGGGGGGGTGTCTGACGATGATCATGATGATGATGATGATGATGATGATGATGATGATGATGATGATGATGATGATGATGATGATGATGATGATGATGATGGTAATGATGATGATGATGATGATGATGGTGGTGGTGATGATGATGCTGCTACTGATGATGATGATGATGGTGGTGATGGTGATGCTGACTATGATGATGATTCTGATGATGATGACGATGATGCTGCCGATGACGATGATGGCTGTGCTGCTGCTGCTGATGATGATGATAATGATGCTGATGATGTTTATCATGGTGGTAATGATGATGGTAATCATGAGGACGATGATAATGCTAAAGATGGTGATGATGCTGATGATGGTAATGATGATGAAGATGATGATGGCACGCTGACATGATCATGGTGACGATGATGCCGGTGATGAATGTGAGAATGGTGACGACGCTGATAATAGTGATGCTGATGCTGTTGATGATGATATCGATGATGATGATGATGATGATGATGATGGTGATGATGACAATGATGATGACGATGATGATGATGATGATGATATTGCTGATGCAGCTGGGGATGAAGATGATGACAATGACGATGACGATGACGATGCTGCTGATGATGATGATGATGATGTTAATGGCGATGTTGGTGAAGATGATGACGATGATGGTGCTGACGATGCTTATGGTAGTGTGGTGCTGATGCTGGTAAAGATGATGACGACGATGATGAGGATGAGAGGATGATGATGGTGTTCTTGATGAAGGTGATGATGTGATGATGTGATGATGATGCTGATGACGGTGATGATGGTGATGTTGATGGTGGTGATGATGCCGATGATGATGCTGATGGTGATGGTGATGATGATGATGATGCTGGTGAAGGTGATGATGGTGGAAATGATGATGATACTAATCAAGGTGATGATTTGTTTTGTTCGGCCAAGTTTGGCAATCAGACGCGATCGATCCAAATGCTGCCAGAAGCTCAGCCGTGGCAAGAGTGACTGCGACAATAGAATAAAGAGGGGAACCGACAGTGCATCGTTGCGAGAGTTCTCGTCGCAGCGCTGGAACCTCCCCCTGCTACTGCCGAAGGCACCCTCGGCTGAAAGTAGGTCTAACACACAGAGGGCGATTCGATTGAGAAGAGCTTCGGGCTGTAGCCATGCCCACTTGCTGTCACGCCAGTGGGAGGAGCACTATGTGGTTATGAAGACAGGGAGTGGCGTTCATGAAAGTCACAACGCTAGGATTTAGTTTGCGTGCACGGGCAGGGACACAACAATGGAGCCGCCAGTGATGATGATGACGACGATTATGAGAATGATGGTGGTGATGATGATGATGCTGACGATGCTGACGATGACGATGACGATGACGATAACGATGATAATGATGATGATGATGATGATGATGATGATGATGATGATGATGATGACGATGACGATGACGATGACGATGACGATGACGATGACGATGACGACGATGATGATGATGATGATGATGATGATGATGATGATGATGATGATGATGACAACGACGACGACGACAACGACTCTTGTTTGCGGGCGCGGGGGGCGCCGCCCCCTGGCGCGAGGGCGAGGCCGGGCCAGCCCCTCGTGCCCAGACTCGGGTGCTCGTCTCGCCATCGCTCGTCGACGAGCACTCCCGGAACACACCTTTCGACATCGTGCGTTCCCTCTTTGGGAATTCTTGGGAATCCTCATGGAATCCTTGGGAATTCTTAGGGAATCGTTCGGACTCGCCAGGGGATCCTTAAGAAACCCCTCGGGACTCCCGAGGAATCCTTATGGCAGCCTTAGGCAGCCGTCGGGGATCCTTCGCAGTCCCCTCGGGGATCCGATCCGGAATCCAAACTGCCCCTCGAGGGCCCCCGCCGGGCAGACGCGCACACGCCCGAGCAGTGCCAAGCCGTTGGCGGCGGGGGGCGGGGGGGGCAGTAGACTTATGTCGAGCGTGTCCCCCTATAGGGGGATTTTCGATGACAAATAAAAAATACCCCAACAAAATTCAAAAAATAGTCAAACATTAGTCTGGGGGCTATTTTTAGAATTATTTGTTTGACCTTTTTGGGGCATTTTTGTGACATTTCTTATCTTTCGTCGAAAATCCCCCTGTAGGGGGACAGGCCCGACATACCAATAGACTTCCTCAAGAAACCCATCGACTTCCTTCGGAAAGCCATCGGATTCCGCAGGCCACGGGAACTCTATATCGGATCCCTTCGGAATTCCAAGAGACTTCCTCCGGGATCCCACAGGATTCCGCAGGAAACCCATGAGATTCCCTCAGAAACTCCAGCGG